CCAAATTGTGACGGGGGGGGGGTCTTCCTGAAGTCATTAAATAAAAATCAAATTTGTGCATAGACTCAGGTTCTTTTTTTTAAAATTGGGTTACTCCATTGATTTCATATTAATCTGTGGGACTTGAGAGAGAAAACTAGGAAATGAATGGTAATCTGAATACAAAATAAATAAACAAGATAAGTTTTGGATACACGGTGCTACAGACACAGACTGAGGTTTGGTTCCCTGCCCTACTAACTCAAGCTGAAGCGAACTTGGGTTCTGCAGCAGGACAATGATCCAAAGCACACCAGCAAGTCCACTTCTGAATGGCTGAAGAAAAACAAAATGAAGACTTTGGAGTGGCCTAGTCAAAGTCCTGACCTGAATCCAATTGAGATGGTGTGGCATGACCTTAAAAAGGCAGTTCATGCCCGAAAACCCTCCAATGTGGCTGGCTTACAACAATTCTGCAAAGATGAGTGGGCCAAAATTCCTCCACAGCGCTGTGGCAGACTCATGGCAAGTTATCGAAAACGCTTGATTGCAGTTGTTGCTGCTAAGGGTGGCCCAACCAGTTATTAGGTTTAGGGGGCAAACACTTATTCACACAGGGCTTTGTAGTTTTGGATTTTGTTTTCCCTTAATAATAAAAACCTTCATTTAAAAACTGCATGATGTGTTTACTTGTGTTATCTTTGACTAATATTTAAATTTGTTTGATGATCTGAAACATTACAGTGTGACAAACATGCAAAAAGATAAGAAATCAGTAAGGGGGCAAACACTTTTTCACACCACTGTACATATCACTTTAAGTGTTAATATGGTCTATGAAATAAACTATTGTGCAACACCAAGGTAAGAAAAGCTGAGGGTAACTTTGCTGGCCTATGCTGTACTGTATGGCCAAGGAAAAATATTTCACACCATTGCTGCATTATACATTCAAACTACATGTTTCTATAATAAAAATACATGCACAGTCTGGCATAATAATACTTAAAAACTCCTTGATATTCCTTGATGCTCCCAGAGACTTTTGCATTTGCTGCCAGACACTATAGTTTTCCATAAATTTCACATCAGGATGCATTGCTTTTTCTTTCTTTTTCATCCAACGTATGTGTGCTAATCAACCACTTTCCTGCTCTCAACTCATCAAAACGTTTTTATTTATTTATTTTACTTTTACGAGGCTTTTCATTGCTCTGCATCTGTTCTGTCACTTCACCACTGCAGCAGTGAGAAGGGTTTAAGGGTCACAGCAAAGTAGCGAGAGCTGGATGAGTGAGAGGGTTTAAGGTCACACAGAGAGTGGAGGATTGTATATTTCCTAAGAAAACAGGAGCAGCCATTTGAGTGGAGGTCATGGACATTTCTATGCATGCTGATAGAACAGGTTGAAGCGTTGGAGGAGAAAGGCCTCTTAAAACTAAATGAACTAAAAGCTCTTGGTTTGAATGCTCTTCATCCTATACTCTGCCAAATGTACTCTACCTTGAATAAAGCACTTAGGTCATAAGGGGTTTTTTGTGTGAAGCTTTTAGGCTAACTCTGACTCCCACTTAAAACCAACTTTAGTTTCCATTTCTAAAGAAGACAAGGTCTTTTCTCTGCATTGGTTTCAGTGTTAATGTGAGACAGAAATTTCATCGCATTGTGAAATGTTTGTGATTAAATGTACTAGACACCGGTACGTGCTGTATGCTCACCTTTTGTGAGATTTAAAAATCACAAATATACATTGAAAATGGAATCATCCCTGACATCCAGAATACATGACAGAACAGTGATGCTCAACACAATGTACACACAGACACACAGACACACACACACAGAGGATTCAAAGATGTAGTGGTCTTAGAAATCCACATGGTGGCAGCTTGGATGTACATAATGATGCTCTGCTTGGCATCTTTGCTTCCAACATATAGCCCACCTAGTAGTTTATAATTTCAAGGTGTTATAAACCATGCACTTGTTTGAATTGACCAATGAAGTATTGTTGAAGCAGGATTGTTTCGAGCACACTGACTGGGGGGTGTTCAAAGAGGGCTCAGACCTCGAGGCTTATACATCAGCTGTTCTGGACTATGTGCAGTTCTGTACTTATGCTGTCCTACCTATAAAGTCCATCAGGGGTTTTCCAAATCAGAAACCATGGTTGGACAGTACAGTGTCACCTCTGCTCAAAGCTCGGGATGCTGCCTTCAGATCAGGTGACAGGCAGGACCCGAAAAGAACTAAAGAAGGGCATCCGGCTGGCCAAATGCAGGTACAAGCAGCGCATTGAGGGGCACTTTATGAATAACAACACACAGTATGTGGAGAGGCATCAAAACAATAACAGACTTCAGAAGCAACAACCAGCAGGTCAGCCATGATCCCACCCTCCCTGACACTCTGAATAGTTTCTTTGCACGCTTCGATACACCTGGCAGCAGAGGAACTGTACAACTCCCTCAGCTTGAGGA